GCGGCACGCCTGCTGAGGGAGGTCCGCGGCCTGGCCCTGCGCCTCTGCCTTGGCTGAGAGATGCGGGAACGGGCACCCCGTTAATTACGTGTTTGACCGTGCTTTCAACATTCGGTTCACTTTTTGGAGACGGGAAGGAAAAATTTATACGAATTTGTAACGTTCCTTGTTTTGGTTTTAAATTTTAATTGAGTCAGGGAGAAAAGCAAATGAAGGCCTTACGCGTAACTTTTTTACGCTGCAGTAGGTTATTAAATCATGTTTATGCTGGGTTTCTGTAGGAGACAGGGACCTGCTTTACACCTGCTTGTGCCAAGATTGTGAATGTGAGCTTTCCATACAAAGCCTTATTTACAGTTTAATTTCCACAGCCTGATTTTCAGGTTAATTGCTGTAGCCTCATTACAAAGCATAACATGACATTTCAGATTTGTTTTCATGCCTTAGTTTGTCCAGAAGCTGAATCTTTGTCTAAACGATGGGAATAAAATTGGCTTTCTGGCAGAAATATTGTAGCAGAATTATATGAAAAATAGGTAGCTTTCTTTGCTAAGTTGTACATAATTCAGGACGTGACCGTACTGGGTAGTCCAAATAATATCTGTTGAAGTGGTACTTTTTTAACATCTTGCTTTGATACCATTCAGAAATTACCTGGCTTGTGAGCCTAAGAGCATGAGTGAATTGAAATGTACTTGGATGATGAGAACAAGCTATTTTTCAGTCCTTATGATCCATCTTGCAAGTGTGGCTGTAAGACCCAGAGTTCCTCTGAGGCTTAGGTATCTCTAGATTGTCAGCTCCTGTTTTCACGGCAGCTATCTGAAGAAAATCTTTATGTTCGGCTCCTTAAACAGTCAATGATCATCTTTGTTTGGATGAAAAATTCACTATAAGCTATTAAATCTTAAAATACCATTCAAACCACGCTTGGCTTTTAGGAAAATCACACTGTTGAATAAATGAGTATTCTTGACTAAGCATGGGGTGTTGACTGAATTGTTAGGACAGCTTTTGGCAGAAGGTACCATGAGGCTATTTTGTTAAGTTTATTCAACTAGTTCTATTCAATAACTCAGTATTTAAATTTCACAGCATTCTTCCCTCCTCTCCCCCCACCCGCCCTTTCCTATAATAAAACTGAAGAGTAAGAGAATGTGTTCTATAACATGGTGAAGTAGCAGCCATGTAGTACAGCCATGTACGGAATCTAATTACTTCTAGTCACTGAAAGTAATTAGATTATCTAACTATGAATCCATTCTTTTGCTTAATGAGCTTGCTTCAAAAAATATATTTGAACGTTTTTTCCTCATTTACCCTCTAGTATTAAAACTGCTTGGTTTAAACAATAAAAGATTTCTTTTTCTGCCGGACATTTTTCTTAGTCACTAAGTTTCAGTTTCTATTCAAATATTGCTTTGGCTCATGAGCCAAAAAACCCCCAACTAACATTATCCATTACAGTTGAAAATTTTAAAAATATGAGAATCAGAATAAGTTGAGCTACACAATTCCCTAAATACATATTTATGGATCAGCATGATTTTCTGTTAAAATGAAATACAAAGTAACACAAATTACGATTAAAAAGAGAAAACCCGCAGCAAACGTAGGTTGTTTTGTGGGGCGGTGTGATCGGTGTAGTTAAAATCATTGATTAAAGTGAGTTCATCCTACCATGTTGTAAGAGGAGCCTGTCTTGTATCCTAATTTACAATCTCGCCAAGTCCAAGGATTAATCAAAAGTATTTTTCTTCTAATTTGTGTGCCTTGAAACTGATCCACAGTAGGACAAAGTGGTGCCAGGCACTCCGCAGCCGTACCTGTCCTGTGGGCAGCAGTGGCCTTTAGTCTGGCTGTCATATTGTCACGACTGCTGCTGAATTCAGCTGAAAAGAAAGGACTCTTCTAATCTTTCCTGACCACTGCTTACTAATTAGAGAAAAGTCCTGAAGTCTCTGTGGAAATATTTTCTTTCTCAGGTTCGTATTTCTTCTGTGGCAAATATGAGGAGGTATCCAAGGGCTGTCTTATTACTAGCAGCATATATACCCTTCTTTGCCTGCATTGCACTATCAGTATATTTTAGTATGAAGTTCTGCACTTTAAATTTACCCAGATAAAAAGCTGACAATAAATTTTACTATGACAAACGTTTTCAGTGAAGTTAGGCTCTTTACACTGGCATGTCTGTGTAGCACTGTCTACACCGTGGCAACAGTATTGCTTGTTGCTGTCAACAGTAGCAGTTTCCCGGTTCTTCCTTTTTTCAGCTGATCTACAGAGGGTGATTTATAGGAACTTAAATGTTGGACCTCTTCTATCAGTAAGTTGTTAGTAAGCCAGCATCAGTCTGGTATCATGTATTCTTCCAGTGCCATCAGCTGCTTAGCCCTTGAACAAAACGCTACGTTACAAGAATTCACTGTATAAAGCTAAGCAGTGGATGTAAGCAAAGATCTCTTTGGCACCTCAGTCTCATCTCTCAAGCAACTGTGTGGGTGTGCCTTGGCACACGTTTGGATCAAATGGAAGATTGGGACTGTAATAACTCTTTTTAATTATGAAACTTACGTTGTGTAAGAGCTTGCACCAAGCTCAGTGCATCCCTTTGATATGAATAGTTGGGAACAAGAAGCTTGCATGGGCTCTGCCACAGGCATCTGCTATCCTGATGCGAAAGAGGAAAAGTGTGTTACTATCTTTCCCAAAGCATTCTGAACAGCACTATATGCAAGCCACTTCTTTCCTTCCTTCAGATTGGTTCAACTGACTAGAATACGGTATTGTGCTTAATGCTAATAAATACTTTTAATTGTTTTCTGTTTAGGATGCAGGTGTATCCCCTGAAAAGACAGCCACGGATCCCGGTGGTGAAAACAAGAAACTCAACAAATCCCAGCAACTGAAACAAGTTTTTAAAGAATATGGTGCTGTAGGGGTTTCATTCCATGTTGGAATTTCATTAGTATCTCTAGGAATCTTCTACCTGGCTGTGTCAAGGTGAGGTTTGTACAGTTGTCTGTAGCCTCTAGGTAATGGTTTAGCCGAGAAAAATATCATACCGTAATCCCTATTTCTGGAAGGAGACATGTACTCTATCCCTTTTTGGTCTATACACAGTAATCTGAATTTTGAGTATAGATGGATCCATAAATGGATCTAATTTCCCATCAGGCATGAGAGAAGAAAGATGTACGTGGTGTTTTTGCATAGGTTCATGGTGGGCAGGTGAAAACAGCAGAGTAGTGACTGCACCAGAGTAACTAGCCAGATGAGAGAATTTATTTTTGTTCTGCAGAGATATCTTTTGTTCTCAAACAGTTGTATGGTCTGTACAGATAGAGCTATACAAAGTGCTGGAGCTTAGAGATAAATTTATTTTTCTGGGTGTTGAACTCAGTTTCTGCAGTTGAAACTGCAAAAGGCAACGGCCACTAAAACAGGATTAGATCAAAAAAGAAAATACTAGATAACTGTATAGGAGTCAGGTGGGAAATTGTGTATGTGGCTTCTGGTGGGAATGCATCAGTTATAGATATGTCTGTTGAGCATGAGGTATGTCAACTGAGGAAATAGGGAAACACATTGTTTCTCAAAACATTCCCTGTCACTCTTGACTTCAGAGGGAATATGCGAATGCCTGATTTCTCTCATTTACTACATCATGGCACAGGGTGACAATGAAATTTTTTTCCTTCGGGTATGATTTAACTCCCAGTTACAAGATACTATACTGGCAAGTGAAGGGGGAAAAGCTACAGTAACAACTTCTTTTGGAAAACTACTCCAAACATAGGAACCTTGATGAAAGCTGCTGTGTCTATAGAGAATTAAAATATTAATGGATTTGGTGGATAATGCTTATTTGAGATCTGTAATACTTCCTTCACTTGCTAGATTTCAGATAAGATACTTGTTATTTTAACAGCTTTGTACTCCTCTGTTATAACACTCTAAGCCTAACAACAGGTACCTTATTTGGTTTGGGTTGATCTGTATCTATGTGATAAATTTCATCAAGACACAGAATAGACTTTATTGTAAATTTTGGGAAGATGAATTTCCAACACAAATTCACAGATTTCTAACTTTTAAAATTCAGAAGTAGAGAAATAGATTATTTTATCAGAAGGTTGAGCATGGGGCTGAGTATTCTCCATGCACATGCTGCAGCTATACAGTTGTAAAACTAAGAACGTATTTGACTTCACAGGGGACTTGTCAATTTCAGAAAAAAAAATGTGCATCTGAAAATATTGCATGTGTTGTTGCTACAGAAGTAACTTGAGCTGTTACTACTGAAATAATTCATTGTTTTTTTTATTTAACAACATCTAGATTTAAACAAATTCCAGAGTTGGAAGTGTGCCATGTTAAATTCCCTGAAAAAATAGCACTTTTAATTTATATTCTTTAGCATGCAAGCTTAAAATAAACTAAAACTTGTTTTCTTTTTCCCCAGTGGTGTGGATATGACTGCAGTTCTCTTCAAACTTGGGTTCAGTGAATCATCGTTGCAATCTAAAATGGCTGCTGGTACAAGCACATTTGTGTTGGCATATGCTATTCACAAATTGTTTGCTCCAGTACGAATCAGCATTACTATAGTTTCTGTGCCATTTATTGTCCGATACTGCCGGAAGATTGGTTTCTTCAAACCTCCTGCCCCAAATCCATGACGATTTCTTACTGGTTTTTACTCTGTTTTTTAAATGCTCTATATCCATGTACCTTTTCAGATTGCTAAATTTCTTTAAAAGACTTACTTGGATGCATGTTAATGCTGACCTCGTCTTGCATTTCTTACTTGTTCTTTCAGGTAAATGTTACACTGTGAAAAGTGCTGTCCTTATCTTCTTCCCCTTTTGCCACCTCTTCTTCAGGAAAAACCTGTTAAAATGGTATCTGGTTTCCGCTGCAAATGGTAATATAAATGCTTGACAATGAGCAGTCTCTTTAGCACACACAGTTCTGGGTCTTTATAATGTAGCTTTTTGGGCCTTAATTTTTTTTCTTGTGAAAATAGAGTGGCAGCATCAGTTTATTACTGTGTAGTTGGGAAACACAGTAAGATTCTCTTCCTAATAGTCTGTGGAATAAACAATATCCTACTATACGAATAGTTCTTTTGGTAAGTGTATATATTGGAATCTAAGGTTGTAGGTGGGTGTTTCTTTTGTTATAAAAAGCATATATTATGATGCCAGTCTTGCAATACAACATACTTGCTGAACTAACTTAAGTGGGAGTACCTGTATACTTAAGTATTGCACAATGATAATTGTTTTAGCCAGAATAGGTGATGCACTGTTCTGAAACTACAGCTTCTTTGTGGTGCTTCCGTGTTTCAAGATTTTATTGTTTGAAAATGTGCTTTATTTATAGGCTAGGAACTAGCGTTAAAGTCCTTTTTTTTTAAAAAAAAATTTTATGCCTATAGACTCAGAAGGAATCCTGAGTCTACTGAAGTCAGTGTAACCAGAATTACCTCCTATGTGAACATATTCCAAAGATCATCAATTCAGAGGCAAGGTATCTGTGGGTTTTTAATGTATTGAGATCTGGTCTTGTACAGGAGACACATTTTTATCTGAAAACTAACCCTAGCAGCTTTCTGCTCCTGTGGATGAAACTCAGATCTGCACCTGAAGTCCAGACATCACAATTCATAGCTTCTCAAGAGCAATTCCTGTGCTTTTGTCTGACAGACTGCTGACATGAAAAGCATTAGAGGTGCTTTTCATTTGCTTATTTGGACACTATTCCTATTACAATGTAGTTGCACATGCATATATTCACATACCACCTTTCAGTTAACCTAAAGACTGGATCTCAAGACTAGGCAGTCAGTGTGACGTTCTGTGGTAAACCTGGGTTTCAGACTGAGGACTGTTCTGTGAGATAACTCAAGCCAGATCTATCAGTCTTTTGGACCTGTTCCTCCTTCCAGGACTGCTCTTTTTACATTGTCCTTCTCTGTCTTTGTGTTTACGCTTACTTACCCCAAGGTGGCTCTGACACAGATCTGTTTATACAGGAATCCGATTAAAGTAAAATAGCAGGAAATTATTACCCTGGTGATCAGAGTAATTTTTTTTTTTGCTGAAGTTTAGTGAATTGAGAGGAAGGAATCGTGGGGTTAGGATGAGAGTTGGCTGAGGGAGGGAAGGAGGAACAAGTAATTTCTTCTTGTTACGAGCAACCTATTCACTCCACTCAGCCATAGCACTGAATTGCACCCTAACTCCTTTCCCACTCAGAAAGTCCAACCCATAGGCTGGTTGGATGCTCTGAGGATCCTCAGGCTCACAAGTGAGCAAGCAGAGTTTGTGCTCTAGGAAGATGAGTCACAGCCACATATATCCTTGTACCTCTGTATTATTGCTACCCCTTGGTTAATCGGAGGTTTTCTCCAAGACAGGAAGTAACTACATCTCTTCCAGTTTTCCCTCTGCCCTGTGGAAGCAAGCTGATACTAGAGACTGCCACCTGAAAACAACGAACCCCTTGACAAGGGCTTGGTCTCAGTGGTGCTGTGCATTAGCCTAAATGAGGGTTTAGCATCTTAAGATGGAAACAGTTGCAGCAGTGAGCAGGTACACACACTAGAGGCTTGATGTATAACATAAACATAGCCACACATGGCGTATGTAAAGATGCATCACATAGTTAAACACCACTCAAAATACCAGCCTTAGGAGCAGGACATAGTGAGATTCAGCCTTGCAGGGTGGCCTGCTTCCATGGGAGCTGTAAGCTGTGTCACTAACAGAGCTTGTTACACACAGCTGCTTGGCTTACTTGTTAAACATGGAACCAATGCTCTGCTGCTTCACATACCCATGTGTGCAGGAGGAATGGCTGTCAAGTTCATTTTGACTAACTGCTTATTAAAAAAAGTGGATTTTTCCTCTTTCATGCCTGCTTTGCAGTATGGCTGCTGAAGCTGGCAGCTAGTGCAGGGTACTAGCTTCAGCTTGCTGCTATCTGAGCCAGCTCTAATTAGAGCTTCAGTTTCAAATCAGCTTGTCCCTCAAGAAAGCTCTGCCTTTACCCTTGACTAATCTGTGTGATTGTTATACCTGTTATGTGGATGGAAGCTTATGGCTGAGTGTTTGATGGTTAAAAACTGCAGTATCTACACAGCAATTGGAGGATTACTACAGTATGACAACATGCAACCAATACTACTGTAGCTTTCGATAACCTGCTACATTCTAGAACAGCTAGAGTCTCTTAAATTTGGGCAGTCAGTCTTTAAGAGTAAGTTTTACTTGGGCTTTTTTCCTGTTCACAGAAGCTTTTCTGTTTGGGTTTTTTTTCCCCACACACCCTCTCTCTTTGTATCAGTTTAAAGCAATGTTCTGTTACCAAGGATAACAAAAGAATTCCAGAATAATCACGAGGCATCCTTGTTTTCTTCATTTAATCAGTCATTTCTGAGAAGTATGTTTTGTCCTAAAGTTGATAGAAAAGGAATATTCAAGCTTTTTCTTTTAAAAAAATCTTTCAGTAAAGCAGGAATCATTTAAAGCAAATGCACCTAGAAGTTATTAAAAGTCACCAGCACTAACTAGATTTTCTTGCAGTAAAGAAACAGAGCTTCATTGAATTATGACCAGAATTCAGATTACCTATTAAGATAAATATGGTTGTATAAACTACTGGCAATTTGTTTAGATGAAGTTTTTTGCAAAGTATATTTTAAATTAATTTGAGAATATATTTTAAATTTAGAATCCTTGCTTGTAAGAGGATTATTTTTTAAATGGTTTGTAAAATAGGAAATACAATAAATTGCTTTCTCTTAGTTTGCTTGAAGTGTTTTACTGGAAAATAGTTGGTTTGTATGTTTTCTTGGTGAGTGGTCTGACCCTTGCCACATTTTGGGGAGTAACATCTTACACCACCAGATGTTAACATTAGTTCCTGTTACATATCCCATTTGATAACAATACTTTCCAGACCTTTCTCTTAGAAGTTTTCAGACCCTGTTGTCTTTGAATAACTGTATTTAAACAAAAGGAAGAAGCAGGCCAAGGTATCAATGATTGTAGAAAACCCACAAGGTAAGTAGCAACACATTTGGTACTTACCTTATAATCCTGTGTTGTGATTGTAGAATAGTAAGTGACCACATCTACTTTGCAGTACCAGCACTTTGAGCAAGAACTTTATGCCAGCTTCCTTTTTGACGGAGGTGGGAAGTAAACTTATTTTGTGATCATAGACGAGGAGTCAAGCTGTACTGATGGTAAAGACAAGTGGTTAAGAGACAGCCAGTGGAAGTGATAAATGCCATACAGAATCTTACCATGCTGGTGGCAGTATATAACAAGTCTTTATTTAAAAAGTTGAGTGCTCACATTTAAGACAAAAGAGACAAACATAATGCACACATTTTTAGGACATGTAGAGAAACGCATTCACCTCACTCAGTTTCAGATTACACCACAGTTATGATACTCTTAGCAGCCCAGTAAGTTAGGAGGCAGGTATCTCTGGGATATTGCACTGTTCAATAAACTAGAACGACGACTGCCTCTTGTTGTTGGAACAATGAACCATTACCAGGACAGACCACTTCATAAGAGCCTTGAACAGCTTAATACTTACACCAACAAACCTGGACCACATGTAACGATTTCAAGTATATTAAGTATTCCACAGCCTCCAGCTAAAAGTCAAATAATTTTACATTGCAATTAGAGTTTAAGATGGCCAAGCCAAAGATTTGCATTCCAATCGCCATTAGATTCCAAGACCTGCTTTTCCTATTGTAAGCATTACAGTAGTCACAGTACAAGACTCCTCGTGTTGATCCCATGAGGTTACTCCTGCTAAGACTATGTTCTGGGTGGGGCAGCAACATCACTCTTTCTGCTGTTGGGCATCTTTGTAGAGTTTGCTGTAATCCAGGGATGAAGCAGCACTTCCTTCAGAGGCAGTCGATGGAATGGGTTATGCTTCAGAAGCTTTGAAATTAAATCCCTCGCACCTTCTGTTACAAATGGAGGAAACTTGAATTCCACCTAAGGAAAAGGAAGGACACTAAAGATGATGCAAAAGTTCTTTGGCAATAACCAAACTAGAAAGACAAAAGGGCTCTACCCTCCAAGGTAGATCTCGAAAGGAAAGCTGTGTCAGCCTTGTGGGCTATGCACCTTATGCCTATTGAGATGAGATTAAGTAACTTTATCACAATCCTGAAGAAAACAAGGTTCTCGCTGCTTGTGGAAGTTAAGCTAGTGCATTTTTCAACGTACTTCATCGTGATTAGTTTGCTGGAACCTTTCTAGGGTATACAACAGGAAGAGTTAAGCTTATGTATTTTTAGTAACACCTTGAATGTTAAATATTCATTTTTTAAATTAGAAAAGGAAAAATGGAGAAGAGCAGTTGCTTTATGAAAGAGGTAGAAGTTCAGATGCGGGCAGAAACAGAGTAGAACCAAGGAAGGCAATGTATCTTAAGGTCTCTTATAGTCATTCTACTGAATGACTGAAGACAGCTTTAGGGATCTAGTTTTATGCATATCATTATGTCTTGCTACAGTTCTAGTTATAATACATGCCCTTCTTCAAGATGACCATTTGTTAAGCTTCAATAAGACAATAGAACTGAAAGGCAGCACGATTCAGCTAGTCCAGATAAGCATTGGCACATACCCTGGAAATAGCTCTGTAGGTTTCCTGGTATGTTTCTGCTTCAAAAGGTGGTTTC